TTCTTTTTTTGCTGAATATTGGCCATTCTACTAATGATGACCAAACTTCGTCTCTCGTACTTCGGACATATTGTCAGGAGGGACCAGTCGCTGGAGAAGGATATCATGTTTGGTAAGGTGGAGGGTCAGAGAAAAAGAGGAAGACCCCCAACGAGGTGGATTGGCAAAGTGGCAGCATCAATGATAGTGAGGTTGGCCCAGGGTCGGGCAGTGTTTCGTTCTGCTGTACATAAGGTCGCTATGGGTCGGTACCGACTTGATGGCACCTAACAACAGTTAATGACCAGTTCACGTCATTTCCAGCTTGGGAGTACTACAAATAAAGTTGTATGAATAGACATAAATTTTTTAAATCATATATCACTCTTGGTGATAAATGGAATAAAATGGGGAAATGTAAATGAAATAAATGGGTTGATATTCCTAAAATGTCTTCAAGGTTAGAGTGTAACTTGTTGAATCACTTTTTGACTCAGTTATCAATGTCTGTTTTTTTCTTTTCTCCTCTGTGCCATCAAATAAAACTGCAGAAGAACTAATAATAGCTGTTGAGCTGGACTCTTAAAGCCAGCTCTGTATTTTTATATAACTAGCCTAGTCTGAAGGAGCTCTGGTAACACAGTGGTTACAAGTTGGGCTGCTAACTTCAAGGTCAGCAGTTTGAAACTAACAGCTGTTCCATGGGAGAAAAATGAGGCTTTCTGCTCCCATAAAGATTGCAGCCTCTGAAACCCTATACAGGGTCGTTATGAGTCAGAACAAACCCCACAGCACACCACCACCACTACCAGCCTAGTCTGAAAAAGAGCCTTGGTTGCCCAATGGTTAAGCTCTTGACTACCAACTGTGAAGTTGGCAGTTAGAACCCACTCAGTGATTCCATGGAAGAAAGACCTAGTGATCTGCTCCCTTAGAGATCTCAACCTAAAGAATTCTATGGGCAATTCTATTGTGTCACATGGGTCACTCTGTCACAAACCAACTGAACATCACCTAACAACAAACAGTAGTTTATTCTGGATTAACCTTTGGGAGTATTGCTAAACACATCTGAGCCACCACCTCCCCCACTCCCTCACCATGATGGTTTGGTTCCTAGGTTCTAAAAGGTTCTATGTTTGTTCCCAGGATTTTCTTCCTAATCCCTGATGCCCATTCTTCTATTTGTGAACTGATGTTTCTGATGTTTTTAGAACTGCAGGCAATGACAAGTAAATCTTGACTCCCTGGTAATCGTAGGACACCATCAATTGTAAGATATATCTCCATCCCAGGATGTAGGAAATGGTACATCTTAGAAGCCATTATGCATGGTTCTTCAGACCGTTTATTTGATGGATATGGACTAGCAGATTAATATCACTTTGTAGTGTTACATAATGAATTAGTAGAACTGGGACCAGAGCAAAGTATCTATGATCCAATTGGTTTTTGGTTTCTCTGACTTTAGTGGGATGGGATTTAAAAAAAAAACAAAAAACCTTTGGAGTCTATCAATTGGTGCTTTAAAAAAGGAAGGCTAATGGAAGGAACCACCACTCCTCTGTCAGTTTGTCACACTGTGGTGGCTTGCATGTTGCTGTGATGCTGGAAGCTATGCCACCTGTATTTTGAATGCCAGTTGGAATTGACTTGATGGCACCTAACAACACCAATAAGGTTCTTTATTCTGGAGCTTTTGGGTGGGTGTGCATATATGTGGGGGGTGGTCTTTTTTGGAGTAGGTTTATCTGGCATAACATTAGTCTTAAAACTATATGTACTCACCTGGTTTCAGACTCAGTGTATGCGTATAGTAATGGTGGTTGATGCAGACATAAATCCAAGACACATAGTAGAACCCAGTCATTAGGAGAACACTCTTTCAAATTTGTATGTTTTAAAAATATTTTATTCTTTTTAGATTCTACAGTTAATATGTATTCACTATGGAAATTTAACACATGAGTGTTAAAGATTATTAAAATCACATATGTAGCCCTACTATCCAGAGATAACATAGCTCAAATGTAATTTCTGACTCAAATATTGAAATTCCTTTTTATTGCTAATCATGCAGGTGTCTTAACTGTGGACGTAGGTAATCCTGTGAATGAAATACGCTAAAGCAAACTTCCTGAGCCAACTATTGCCTCATTTATTTAGCAAATGTGTGCTAATTATTCATATTATGTATGTTGTTGTTGTTGTTAGGTGCCATCAAGTTAGTTCCATATAGGATCCATATATAGGGTTTCCAAGGAGTGACTGGTGAGCTTGAACCACCAACCTTGCAGTTCAAACTGACCTTGCAGTCCAGTGCATTAACCCCCATTCTTATTATTTATGTTGTTAAGTGCCATGGAGTCGGTTCTGACCCATAGTGACCCTGCATAGGGTTTCCGAGACTGTAAATCTATGGGAGCAGAAAGCCTCATCTTTCTCCTGTGGAATGACTGGTAGTTTTGAACTGCTGACCTTGAGGTTCGCAGCCCGACTTGTACCCATTATGCTACCAGAGCTCCTTGTGAGCTTGAACTTCCAACCTTGCAGTTCAAACCAACCTTGCAGTCCAGCGCATTAATCCACAGTGCCACACCAGGACTCCCTTATTATGTATGATTAATAGAAATGTGAACACAGCCAAAAGATTGCTTTTCTGCTCTTAAGTGCTACCTTCTATGTGTATACACAGAGTTCTAGTGTGGCACTGTAGGATAAGCGCTAGACCACAAGGTCAGTTTGAACCATAAGGTTGGCAGTTCAAGCTCACCAACCTCGTCTCAGAAATCTTATAAAGGGTTGCTATGAATTGGAAACGACTTGATGGCACTTCACAACAACAACAATGGCAGGAAAAGGTAGTTACACTGTATGTGGAAAACCCACTGTCATCAATTCTGACTCACTGTGACCCCATAGGACAAAGTAGAACTGCTCCACATGGTTTCCAAGGCTATAAGTCTTCGTGGACGCGGACTGACTCTTCCTTTCTCCCTTGGAACAATTGGTGAGTTCAAACCACCAACCTTTTAGTTAGCAGCTGGATCCTTAACCCACTGTGACAGCAGGTCTCCACTGTATATGAAAAGGGATCACATAAGCAGTCAACTACAGACTTGAACACTGTGAAGAGTTAAATTAATCAATGGACGGGAACTGCATTCTAATAGCCCCTCAGTGGTCTACCTGCTAACTATCTCCTTCCATGCCGATCCATTCTTCATTCTTGCCATTTCATTTGCCTTTTTTAAAAAAGATCTTTTCAGATGATTTGTGACTCCCCATTTCCAACAAAATAAAGCCCAGGTTCCTTGGCAAGATATATAAGGAAGGCTCTATACCCTTCCTTGTCTTGAGTTCATTCCTTTCGCCTCCCCCATGAGTCCTACCCTCCAGCTTCACCACATTACTACTATTCTACCAGCATGTCAGGTATTTTCCTATCCTTGTGCCTTTGTGGATACTCTTCCCTTCTCCCAGGATGAACTGTCCCCACCCAGGTCCACGATACTCTTAAGACTCAAAAATGCAGCCTTTTCCCACATTTTCCCCTCAAGACTCCCTCCTCCCATCCATGGAGTATTTCCTTGTGTGTTTGAAACCCACTTTCTATGTGCATGACTTCTGCTATAACCCTTCTCCTGTGGCATTATTGCCATTATTGTATGTGTCTGTCTCACTAAACTGCAACCCCCTTAGAGGAGAAGTTCCAATCTGCTTCATCTTTGTGTTCCCGTTTTCCATAATGGCACCTGGAATTCAATACTTCCTAATAGAAGTCTTGTGTGGCATTGTAGGATAAGCACTGGACTGCTAACCAAAAGACCAGTAGTTCAAACCCACCAGCTGCTCTTGGTAAACCCTATACACTTAACAACAACAAGGAGAAATGCAATCAGTTATATGAAGAATTATTTCCTGAATGCAATCTTATCTTTCTAGGAAAGATCTGTAATGTTTTCTCTAAGGAGGAAGGGATTGAGTAAAATTTCACTTTGGATGGAAACTTGAGAGTGAGGTAGTATAAAAAGAAGAGGTAGAAAGAAAAAAGAATTAATGAGCATGATTAAAGAAACCAAAAGGAAACAGGAGTCGATAAAGAATGAGAGATGAGGAGAGAAGAAAAGAGAAAAATGGAGGAACTGAATATGTGGTTAGGATTTTAGAATCCTTCCTGGTTTAGTTGCAGGGGAATTACTGGACAACATGTTCTCACATAGACTTTCCAAATTCTCCTTTCCTCAATGAATCCCATTTTGTATTCTTCACATCACTCCCTCCCTGAAAAGACACAAGCATGCTTATTACAACTGCCTTACAATTAGCACATTGTTCTTGTTTGTCTATGGGAAGCCATGAAGCAGAGTAGTATGGGGGAAAGGCATTCACTGCACTGTGGAATCAGGGCTTGGCACAATCTCTACTCTGACTTTCAACAAGGCACTCAGCCTGCCTTAAGAATCTTCATCTATAAAATGGAATTAATAGTATCTGCCCAAGCTTCCTGGCAGAGTTGTTATAAAGATCACAATAAGTAGAATGGTATCTAGAAAACACCTGTCAAGTTGCTATACAAGTGAAAGTAATATTGCTAATACTTCCAAGACATTGTAGGTTCAGTTCCAGACCATCACAATAAAGCAAATATCACAATAGAGCAAATCACAGTTTTTTTGGTTTCCTAGTGCAGACAAAAGTTACATTTACATTCTATTGTAGCATTATGACGAAGTTTGAAACATTGTGAGAATGGCTAAAATGTGACAGACACAAAGTGAGCTATGCTGTTAGAAAAATGGTACTTATAGATTTGCTTGATGCAGGGTTGCTATAAACATTTAATTTGTTAAAAAAAAAAAAAAAAAGCAATAAAGCAAAGCTCAATAGTGTCTGTATTAGCTTTTAATTAAACTATTTGGTCTAATAGAGAGATTCCATTGGCAGGTGGCATAGCCCTGTCTCCTGCTAAAAGGCCTGCTCACAGACAGGAGGTAACAGTGTTTCTTTCTTATTAACAGTATTCTGAAGTCTCAAGAAGCTAGCCCATTTAAATGCTCATAGCCCATGAGAGAGGCATCAAAGCAGCCATGGCACTCCCTTTTCAGAAAGAGCTGGAGAAATACAAGAACATTGATGAAGACGAGCTTCTTGGCAAACTGTCAGAAGAGGAACTGAAACAGTTGGAAAATGTTCTTGATGACCTAGATCCTGAGGTTAGTGACATGGAATTGAAGCGGGGTAGTTCATGATAGTGTGGGATGGAGGCCGGGGCTGGGTCCTTAATCAGTAGGGTTCTAGAAATCCAGCGGCTTCAAAGGTGAAGTCTGTGTTCTTCCCCTGATGGGTTCTGGGTCACTTACTTTTACAAGTTTGTAGAGAACTTCTATAGCCCCATCTGCAGTATGATAATGGAAAATGTAGCTCTCAAAAACCAATGTCATGAAAATGGAGAGAACGATTTTCCATTGGTTAAAGAAGAGCTTGGAGTCCTGGTGTGGCGCTGTGGGTTAATGCACCAGACTGCAAAGCCGTTTGAACTGCAAGGTCGGCAGTTCAAGTTCACCAGCTGCTCCTCGGAAACCCTATACAGGATCGCTATGGGTCGGAATCAACTCGAGGGCACTTGACAACAACAACAACAATAGTCTGAGCAGTTAAATAGAAGAAATGAGGGAAGGAAACAGATCATACCAGGTTTCCTCTGTGAGTTACACACTCTGCTGAGCACAATAGTACTTGAGGTAAATTGCATTATTCCTGTTTCATAAAAGAGACCGGCTAAGAGAGGTGATTTACATAATATTCCACACTATTAAATGCCAGAGATCATATCTAAACTAGGCCTCTAACCCCGAATGCAATTTTTTTTTACATGTCATTTCTTCCGAATGCATGCTGCTATTGGTTACAGTTGAGTCAGCCCCTGGCTAATAATGGTGACACTGTGCCCAACAGGATCAGACCATTGTGATCCACAGGTTTCTCATTGGCTGATTTTTAGAAGTAGGTTGTTAGGCCTTTCCTCTTAGTCTGTAAACGGTGCTGAAACCTGTTCAACATTGCAGAAACACCCAGTCCTCCATGGACAGACAAGTGATGGCTGTTCTTGAGGTACACTGTCTGGAAATCAAACCTGGGCCTCATACATGGAAGGCAAGAAGAGCTCTACCACTGAGCCGTCACTGTCCTCACTTTGAAATGCATAAGTAACTGAAAATCTTGGTGGCCTTACTGCACTGGGTAGATTAGGAGTGGAATGCTAGTCATAGATAAATTCAAATGGGGCTTCTATTATTTTTGTAAGTTATTGAAAAGCTATGTAGTTTATTGTCTTGTTCATTTAGCACGTACTCTCTCGGCTCTAATGATGTTATCTTAAATTTAGACTAAGAAACATGCAAAATAGTGATTTTACTATAATTTAAAATGTGACTAAAATAAACATATTTGTATGCTATTCTGATAAGCCAGATACTTTGGATTTTTTATTCAAATTTACTTTTAAACACATACAAGCCTTCTCTTTTTTGTTGTTAAATATAGGGAAGGAATGTCAAAGCTTAATCAAGCAGATGTTAATATCTGCATAAGATTCACTTGCTTGACTGTTTCCCTAAGGGAGGATTTAGAAATTAAGAGAGTGTAACCGTATTGACAAAGTCCTTGAGTGGGGTAAGTACCTAAACACTCAGCTACAAACCTAAAGATTGGTGAGTCAAATCTACCCAGAGACCCCTGGAAGAAAAGCCTGATAATCTAGTTCCAAATGATCACTGCCATTGGAAATCTCCGTAGCACATGGGTCACCATGAGTCAGAATCACCTCTACAGCATCTGGTTGCACTTGGTTCTTTATCAGAGTCTCCATATACCTGCCTGGGGGCACCATGGGTACTGTGCTAGCTGAACCTAAGTGTGATCTCTCCAATCAAAGAGGCTGGAAAATGTGGCTGACTTTTTGGCACCAAATTTAAGAAGCCACTGCAGAAGATGACATAGACTGCGTCAGCTGTCCATGCTCTGCCTAAGACCATTCAGAGATTGCTTCTCAGCACAAGATATTAGAGCAGGTAGGATCTGAGAGACCTCCCAGGGACGCCAGCCTGCAACCCACCTTCGGTGACCCCAAGCAGGTATCCTTCTCCCTGCTTCCCCAATAGACAGAAAACTCAATGAATGGAGATGATAACTAAATATCGGTCAGACATATTCCCTTCCTGCCCAACCTACCCCTGTCTTCCCAGAGTGCACTGCTACCAGCTGGATTCCGGCAGAAAGACCAGACACAGAAAGCAGCCACCGGCCCATTTGACCGTGAGCACCTTCTCATGTACCTGGAGAAGGAGGCTCTAGAACAGAAAGACAGAGAAGACTTTGTGCCCTTCACTGGGGAAAAAAAGGGTAAGGATCACAGTCAGCACACCTTGGGACAAGATAGAGGCACTCATAGCTGTTGTCTCTGAGGGCCAAGGCCAAGCAAGGGAGCTGACCTGGAAATAAGAAATAAATAGTGGGTTCAGCATGAAAAAGAAGCATGGGAATATATATAGGCTTCCTAAAGAATCCTAAGGGTGCGATGATACTCAAATTGGTTCTGTGAAAATCTTGAGCCCCACATCGATATTGTTGAGGGTTCAAGTTGTGCCTTAAAGAGGATTCCAATGGAGTCCTGGTTTGGCACTGTAAAATAAGCTCTGGACCACAAGGTCAGTTTGAACCACAAGGTCAGTGATTCAAACTCACCAGCCATGCCTCAGAAACTGCATACAGGCTCACCACAAGTTGGAACTGACTCAACCGCGCTTAACAACAACAAAGGCACTGGTGTGTTTCTCTTAGCTGTGCTCTTCCAACTACACAAGTTCCCTCAAGGTTTTCTGCTCCATGTCTAGGAAGGCCCTGGTGCCAGATCCCTAACCTTAGATGCTGAGATTAGCAATCAGTGCATTCATTCATCCCACATTTATAGAGCTCCATTTCTGTGCAGAGCCATGTGCCAAGTCTGGAACGACAAGTGAGTAAGCGTTTGCCCTGCCATCAAGGAGCTTGTGGTCTTGTGAGGGAAACACTATGGCAGAGCTGGGTATGACTCTGAGGAGCAAGGGACTGTTTCTCCAGTCCAAGACCAAGCTCAGAAGCAACACAAGGAAAACTCTCTTCCTTGGGTCTTGGCCCTGAGTTCCCCTCTGGAGGAAGAATGGATAACAATAGCCTGCGGATGAAAGTTCCTCAGTTCCAGACAGTGACTGGAGCTACTAGATACAAATGGAATTGTGGATGAGCTCATGGCAACCACAGATCAGTGTGTCACTGTCCTGCTAACTTCCCAAATCCTGACGGTGGCTTCAAAGCCCGCCCTGTGCGACCTAGCCCCTACCCATCTCTCTGACTTCATTTCTCCCTCCCTCACTGAGTCTTCATTCAGCTCCCAACCTGCTGAGTTCCCATCATTTCCGGTCTCCCCACATGAGCTCTTCCTTCTGACCCAGAATCCCGTTTTTTGTTGTTGTTGTTTTTCCCACTGATCTTTAGTCTCATCACTTGGGTCTCAGCTTCAATGTCAGAACCCCTGGCTTTTTACCTGACCTGTTGGTAAAATTTAGACCCTTCTTTCTCACATGTCACCTATTTATTGCTTTCACAGTAGTATGACAATGCTCATTACTTTGTTTATTTTCTTTGGCATTTGTGTGTTTTCCACATTTTAGGCAGTGGTCTCCACCCAGGCAGGACTGTGTGTGTTGGTATCGTGGCACAGGGGAGGCACTCAATATACATGTGTTTGGGTGAACGCCGTCTCTGGCGTTCTGTGCTGTGGCCGTGGGGAGCAGGAACACTGGCTACCCAGCTGTCAGGGGTCAGGGCAGGATGCTGCCTCGTGCCTAACATCCCAGTACTCCTCTTAGTGGTGCACATTCAGTCTACCAGTCACCATTAAGAATGTCATTTTATTCAAAAAGTAAACTTAAATGGTGATGAATTAGGCAACTAACCAAGGATTACCATGGAAATAGGGAGCTGTTTCTATGGCAGCATTGCTATTGGACTAATTTAATTGTGAGAGAAAGACATTATAATGTCAAATCTGTACTAAAACTCTGATTGGCATCGAGTGCCAGGTAATGACAGAATACTAAGGGGAAAGCTGTTGTGCTTTATACTTGGAGCAGAGATCTGAAGAGAAGATGTGGGAAATATTGTCTTGATACAGCCTCATCCACAGATGGTCCCTGGTGGGGTTAGGAATCCAAGAGCCAAGTAGTATATGAGGATTGATAAGGAGCATAGAGTTGCTCAGTGTAGCTTAAGAGAAGATGGGATAAGAAGCATAGACAGCACAGTTTGCAAACAAAGCAGAAAGGTCAGAATGAGGAGGTGCCCCCAGAAGGACCAGAAAGTGACCACAATACCTATCATGAATGCTCCGTGCCATGGGACCCAGCTTCCTGGGTTAGACTTAACTCCCCAGTGCAGCTTCATCCATCTCGAGTGTGTTGTTTAGTTAGCCCCCAGGAATGGATTCCCATCACTCATTGCCCTGAACACTGATAGCTGTTGGGCCACCTTGATGCCTACTGTTCAGAATAATCCTAAACAGCACCACGGAGGAGGAACTTAGAAATCCTATTTTGACTCTAGACCAAGATCATCTGAGCCAGAAAGAAAATGCTTCAGGCTACAGATACCATGGAAGCTAAGTCAGGCAGGAGTCCCAGCATTTGAGATGTTAAGATGTTATTGATTGTTTTTATTGTGTTATTGGGTTGTTGTTTTTTTCTCTCCATTTTCTTTCTTTTTGGCCACTCTGCACTTTATTTCCCAGTATACTTTCTGTCTGGGAAATATGGCAGCTTATGTGATGCTGAGGCAGGAAGAAGACCACATGTCATTGGTAAAGGCCTTGTTGACCATGGGGCCCTAGATTGACCACATGCAGTTACTTCCTTTCCTTCTTTAAGGTCCCAGCTCTGCCTGTGCTCCATTTATATACCCAACCAGCTGGAGACATGGTAAACCACCAGGAAGTAAGCAGCTCCTATAACCAGGGAAGTCTCCAGGAGAGATTCAGGAGGGAAAGGTCTTGATTTTCAGTTTGATCCTTCCCTTCTCTGTGAGACTGGGGTGATCCAGGCTAGCCAAGAAGACCTGAGGAAAGCTTGGATGTCCCAACTGGTTGAACCTAGAGCCAGTTGTCTCTTTTGTCTAAGGTGACAGTGAAGAGAAGGCAATAGAGAGGTTAGTCTTTAGGGAATGTCAGAGATCAAAGATGGAAAAGACCAGTTTCTAAGATTACATTCAAGAAGTAAGAACAGCTCCAAGAAAGAGAGAAAAGTCAAGAGTCAAAAGCCAGGAGGAATTGGAAAAGCATGTGAGAAGGTCCGGGGTATTACTGTGATGGCTGTGGGCTACCTTGATTTGCTGTTGCACACACAGGTAGAATGTGATGTGTTGGTCTGGCTGGAAGTTAGGAGCAAGTAACATGACATCCCCACCAGCAATGTGATTCATTGGACTACAAGTTTGGGTTGGGAGGTAGTGCATAGATATCAGCATTTTCAAAAGGTGAGTAGGGCCAAAACAAACAGAATCTGAGTGACAGGATGAAGTGGGAGATGACAGCAGAAAATATGTATGTGGGAAGCACGGAATGCTTTGCTGTTCACAAACCTTCTAATCTCTAAATTTGTCAACCTTGGTTTTTCCTTTTAAATCAGGCTCTCTGTGGTGAGCTCTAGCAGGTGGCTGTACCACACTAGTCTGAGTGGCCCATGCAGTTTATATATAGCATGCTAGTGATTAGTCTGCAGGAGTCCTGGTGTGGCACTGTGGGTTAATGCACCAGACTGCAAAGCTGTTTGAACTGCAAGGTCGGCAGTTCAAGCTCACCAGTTGTTCCTTGGAAACCCTATACAGGGTCGCTATGGGTCAGAATTGACTTGATAGCACTTAACAACAACAACAAGTGGTCCACAACTCGAGTTCAAGGGAGCTGCAGTCTGCCCCTGAAGACCCTTTGGGGCCCATCCCCAATATTGGCAGAGTGCAAGGCCAGAACACAAATAGAAGCCCACATACCATTTTTCTCAATATTTAGTAGCTAACAAACTGCTAAAAAGTTTTCTTTCTACAAATATACCTTCATAATAATTAGGAAGGCCAGACTCGAATTTGGCATTCTTGGACGTGTTAAAGTTCAGGGCAGGAATGAATGTCTGCCCCATACTGTCAGGATCTCAGGCCCACATGTTTGGGCACTCCAGTACATATTGCAGCTCCCTCCATACTTGCTCACAGACAGCCTCCTATTGACCTGGAGGTACACATCAGCATTGGGATCTGCCTTCAGGACAAACATGGTCTATGTGTGTGTTGTGGGGGGAGTGGGGGAGCAGGAGTCTCCTGCAGACCCTGGAAGCAGGCCCGGGTTGTTTGGGTAGAGACTTCCAGGGTCAAGCTGCCTCTAGAAGGAGGCCTGTACTCTGGATAGGAATGTCTCTTTGGCCCCATGACCCCTCTCTCAGTGGGCTGGGCAGTAAGGAGATAGACACCATGAAAGTTCAGAGACCCCTCTTGCCAGGTCGCTGGGCAGTAAGGAGATAGACACCATGTTGTCCCTCTGTTAGGATTATCATCTCAAAGTTCTGTGTCTCAGAGAATCAGGCTTCTTTCTCTGTATGTTCTAATAGTGGATTCTCGATACTGGTATCATTCCAGCAATTAAGGCACCCCAGTTAGATACTTGGTGTGGCGCTGTGGGTTAATGCGCCAGACTGCAACGCCATTTGAACTGCAAGGATGGCAGTTCAAGCTCACCAGCTGCTCCTCGGAAACCCTATACAGGGTTGCTATGGGTCGGAACCAACTCGATGGCACTTAACAACAACAACAAGTTAGATACTTAGTGGTTTAATGGTGTGGTTCTTAATAGCCAGAGCTGCATTCTCTGGTCAGTCCACTTACCCTCGCACACAACTGTTTTTGTTTTCCTTCTGATTTAAAGGGAGAGTCTTTATCCCCAAAGAAAAGCCTGTAGAAACTCTCAAAGAAGAAAAAGTGACCCTCGACCCAGAACTGGAAGAAGCTTTGGCTAGCGCCTCCGACACTGAGCTCTATGATCTTGCAGGTTAGTCCTCAGCTCTGGGAAACTTTCCTTCTGGCTTTGTGACCTCCAGACATGGACTAGTACCCATGTCAGACCCATCCAAGACTTTGACCTTCTCAATAACTGTCTGTTCTTATTAAAATCCCATGTTGACTTTAGCCACTAAACCAGTTTCCATAGGGCCAGCTCTGACTCATGGCAACCCCATGTGCATCAGAGTAGAACTGTGCCTGGTAGGGTTTTTAGTAGATGATTTTTCAGTAGTAAGTCACCAGCCCTCTCTTCCCTGGTGCCTCTGTGTGAACTGTGAGAATCTAAAGACACAATAGCAGCCCTTATGCTTTGTAAAAGGAGCTCTGGTAGCGTAGTGGTTACGAATCGGGCTGCGAACCACAAGGTCAGCAGTTTGAAACTACCAGCTGTTCCACAGGAGAAAGATGAGGCTTTCTGCTTCCATAAAGATTTACAGCCTTGGAAACCCTGTACTGGGTCACTATGAGTCGGTACTGATTCCACGGCACATAACAACAACAAATGCTTTGTTTGTAAGGAGCTATAACATTAACTTTTATCATCACAAAACTTACCCCCTACACCCTAAGTGATTGCCCTTCCCCAAGGATGTCACTCATTCAGTTTAATTTGCACTAAGAGCTTCTGTCAGCTGACCAAGGAATCAGGGGTCATTTACTACCACAGTCACCCTACCCACTAAGGTAAATTCCTATTCCACTCCATCTGTTAATTTTTTCCTCATTTTCTTAACAATAGCAACAAAATAGTAATCATATAATTTATTATCATTTGAATTGGTTATACGTGCAGATAGAAAAAACTCAAATAGTACAAAAGAATATGTAATGAAAGGTAAGTTTTCTCACTTAATTACCTAGATCTTCTCCCATTTCTGTAGTATCCTTCGAGAAAGATTCCTTGCAAATATACCAGCATGTTTGTGCATTCATATTTTCCTCTCAGCGTGATGTTTGCTTTTCAAAACATTCCACAGCTTCAGTAAGAATTCCCACATTTTTATTCTATTTGAGGAAATGCATAATGATAAATCCCCTTCCTCCCAGTAGAACTGGCTATGTCTTTCTCTAATAACATGCCATCATCTCACCTGCATTCTAATTCCTTCTGTTACACTGATGATTGATATAAGTTCACATATTGGAGGACCCTCTTCAAGGTCACTGCAGGAACTGAGACAAGAAGTGAAGAAGATGCTTTATAGCACCTGGTTTTCTAGGTTTTGTGGTTACAATGCCACCACCACCACCGCTTACCATCAAATCAATTCCACCTCATGCTGACCCCAGGTGTTTCAGAGTAGAACCGCACATAAGGTTTTCCATGGCTGTGTGTGGTGCCATAGGATAAGTACTCAACTTCAAGGTCAGTTTGAACCGCAAGGTCAGTGGTTCAAACTCACCAGTCACTCCTTGGAAACCCTATACAGGGTCGCTGTGAGTAGGAATGGACTCATGACAACAACATGAACTTTAAGGGAGTCCTGATGGATAAGTACTGGACTGCTAACCACAAGATTGGTGGTTCAAACCCACCAGTCACTCCTTGGAAACCCTATACTAGTTCACTATGAATCACAGCACTTAGCAACAACACTTAGGAACAACAATATGACCTTACAGAAGCAATTTACCAGGTCCTTCTTTCATAGTGTCTTTATTAACCCTTTTGGTTAATAGCCAAGTGTGTAACCACTTGCAACACCCAAGGACTCTAAGTTAGTGTGCAGAGATTCGGTTATGATTACTGCTCCTCACAGCCTCTATCAGAAGTAACCACAAGGAGAATTCTAGGCTGGTCTTGAATTCCCAGGAAATTCCTGATAAAAGAGAAAGAGAATAACACCCATCATTTGTTGTTGTTGTTGTTAAGAGCCATGGAGTTGGTTCCAATTCATAGCGACTCTATATAGGGTTTCTAAGACTTTTACATCTTGGTAGGAGCAGATATCCTCATCTTTCTCCATGGAACTGCTGGTGAGTTCAAACCACTGACTTTGTGGATCCCAGTCTACTGCTTTATTATATGGTGCCAGTGCACGCCCATCATTTAAAAGACACTAGATCCAGAAATTCCTTCAGGGAAGCCAGGGGAATCATCCCAGCAGATAACTCATTTTCAACTTCCCTCCCTCATGGGGAGTGCCCCCTTAGAACTCAGCAGGAAACCAGGCTGTGATGGGCTGCAGCATCTTCTTGAGAGTGACTCTGAAGATAATTAGAGCAGTCCCATGAGTGATGAGCTGAAAGCTGTGGAGGTGTCAATAAGAAAGGGACCCATGCGAGAGTAGGGGAGAAAGTTCATAGGGACTGCCTCCACTAGCCGCATTTATAGGAAATAGATTTAAAAAAAAAAAAAAAAAAAAGCAAAAAGTAATTCTTGGCAGTGGGAGCCAAATTATAATTAGAAGGTTGCTTGGTATGGATGAAACTAAAGCAGGACAAGATGGTCAAAATGGCCTGTATTTATCAAATAAGACACCCTCTCCCTCGACAGTGCCCGAGACACACTGACAAATTCTTATTTTATTTACTTAACAAGAATTTGTACAGCATTTAGTGTCTGGCACATAGGAATCCATATAATCCTTGTAATAGGTACGAATATAAGGGGAGTTCAGAAAGTTTGTGGGAAAATGGAATGAAAAGTGGGATTTTCCACATTTTGAAGCCCTCTCCTATTGTGCCTATTCTACAAGATGAAGGAACTGAGGCACAGAGGCATTTAGTAGCTTCCTGAGTCACACAGATATGACTTAAGAGAGTCAGGATGCAAGCTCAGGCAGGCTGCTCCAGATTCCACGCTTACCCCCCCACACCGGCTGGCTGCTTGCCCTTTCCCTTTCTCCTCCCCGCCTCCAGTGTGTAAGCAGATGAGGAACTCGGAGGCACTCTTCTGCCACCTGTTGACAGGTTAGTATCTAATTTTGTACCCTTCTCCCCACGGGCTGCCTTGCCTTTAATTTTATTGTTGTTGTTATTAGGTGCCATCCAGTCAAGTACGGACTCTTAGCAACCCTGTGCACAATAGAACAAAACACTGCCTAATCCTGGGCCAACCTCACAATCATTGCTATGCCTGAGCCCATCGCTGCCACCACAGTGCCAATCCATTTCTTTGGGTCATTGGAGGTCTTCCTCTCCCCCACCCTCCACTTTACCAAACATGATGTCCTTCTCCAGGGCCTGGTCCCTCCGGACAATATGTCTGACGTATGAGAGACGAAGTCTGACTATCCTGGCTTCCAAGGAGCACACTGGCTGTACTTCTTCCAAAACACATCTGTTTGTTCTTTTGGCAGCCCATGGTACTTTTAATATTCTCCTCCAACACAGTTATTTCATTAGCAAAGGGAAATCTCTGGTCAGTTAACATTTCAGCCTGCCCGCTCCCCTCTTCCTTCTCCCCCAGGGTGGCTTCCTGTACACTCTGCTGCCTCCTGGTGCAATTGCCATGTAATACAGGAATCTAGGCATTTCTGGCCTTAAGGATCTCTGTTGGTGCAGTGATTAAGTGCTCAGCTGATAACCAAAAGGTCACCTGTTCAGACCCATCAGCTGCTCCAGGGAAGGAAGCTGTGGCAATCTGCTTCCAGAAAGATTTGAGGCATTAGAAACGGTAGTTCTGCTCTGCCCTGTAGGACAGCTGTGAGTTGAGATCCACTTGGTGGCTACAGGTTTGGTTTGGGCTTTGATATCTGCCCTTACATTTCCTAAGGAGCTCTGGTAGCGTTGTTATTGAGTTGTTATCTGGTAGCATAGTGGTTACGAATTGGGCTACTAACCTCAGGGTCAGCAGTTCAAAACTACCAGCTGTTCCGCAGGAGAAAGATGAGGCTTTCTGCTCCCGTAAAGATTTATAGCCTCGGAAACCATATACAGGGTTGCTATGAGTCGAAACCAACTCCACGGCACATAATAACAACAAGAAGTACTCTAAATGCAAAAGGTCTCCTTTTGACTTGGGAGAGCTGGAGACCCTGACACTGAAAGGTATTTATTTGTAGGGTGCAATCATATCTACAGTGTGAGCTACTAAAGTGTCCCTAGACCTAGTCCCACCCTCTCATTTTGCAGATGAGAAAACAGAGGTGGAATTCTACCTAACTGGGAGAGCTAAGCAGGGTTTTTGTCATTTGGGGTCATAATTAAGTCATCTTTGTTACTCAGATCCTAAGTGGTTTCACATGTGAAATAGATGCGTGACAATTGCTGGTGGTCTTGGAAAAGAGAGGGTTTTTTAAAAAAAATATATGCTTTAAAAATACTATACATCTGCCACCCACTTTGAAAGAAAAGGGCGTCAGGAGACTTCATCTTTACGAAACAGGCATTTTTCATCTTTATAGTAGGAAGAATTGCTCTTCAAGGACAGATCAAGAATGTGGGAGTTCTAATCTGCTTTCCTATCTTAGTGTTTGTTCACTGATTATGTTTGTTTTCAGCTGTTCTTGGAGTACACAATTTGCTCAACAATCCCAAGTTCGATGAAGAAACCAGCACTAAAAGTGGCAAAGGGCCTGTAAGAAGTAAGTTGATGTGTAATTTGTGGTTTTGTAAAACATCAGAGCCTTCAGGTATTGCTGATAAGAGACTGGCCTGTTGCCAAGGCCTCCTGGTGAATCCTGCAGCCTTTGAAGGTGAACTTGTCAACCGAACCAGAACATAGTAGCTGATAATAGGAGCTCTGTCTGCAAGTGTAATTAGTACCAACCATTTGGCCAGAGCACACTTTCTTGGTAGGTCTGTTCACTGAATAATAAAATTGCTAATAAAAAGATTTTGAAGTCAGCACAGAATGCACATGCTCCTCAGAATGTTTTCATTAACTGTGGTAGCTTGAATAAGTTCACTCTCTACTCTAATGTTGTTTGTTTGAATAATGAATGTTTGACATTAGAATTTGAAAACTCACTATCCCCAGAGAGCATGAAAGACACACTAGCACGGACTTGCTGGCACAGAAAATTCCTGATCACTGTCTTCTTTGTCAACATTTCCTTAGGAAATGTGCAGTTAATTAGATGCTCTCATTCCCTCATGCATCAGTCATCTATTAAATATCTACCATGGAGTCCTGGTGTGGCGCTGTAGGACCAGCACTGGACTACTAACAACAAGGTTGGCAGTTCAAACCTACCAGCCGCTCCTTGGAAACCCTATTCAGGGACGCTTTGAGTCGGAACCAACTCCATGGCACTTAACAACAACAACAACAAAACTTGCACCACGTACATCCCCACCAACATTGTATGAGGACGCTTTTTTCTCCACTTTGTTGCCAAATCTCAATATTACCTCTTTTTATACCTTTTGCTAATTGTATTGGGGGCGTGGTATCTCATTGGTTTATTTCAAAGTTTACCATTGGTATTTATTGGTTAAAGGGACAGAGTTTCTTCTGATCTTACCATTTGTTCACTTGCAATTGTGTTGTCTATCACTGATTTGTGGGGGCTCTCTGTAACTAGGGACATTAGCCATTGTATGTTGTCTATGTTGCAAACATTTTCTGTTAACTTTTTGAGAATTCTTCTATTCTTCCTTTTTATCTCTTTGCCTTACCTTTCAAAACAAAGCTCTAAAATGTAGACTAGAGGAGAGGATGGGTAAAGAGACTGAAAGTTTGGGGAGGAAGATAACGCATATGGTGTCTTTTGTGCATCTCAAGTCCTATCATTAGAAAGAGGCCCATATGGTACGACAGTAACTGCCAGTGGACATTCTTACTGAGATTGGAGTCTGCTGGACTACAAAGTCACCTTGAACCACAAGGTTGGTGGCTCAAGCTAACCAGCTGCTCCTTAGAAACCCCAACAGGGCCACTATGGGTTGAAATTGACTCCACAGCACTCAACATATTGCCTCCTGCAAGATTGGCTCCAGATGCTCAGCCACTGATGTTTCTCATTGTGCTTGAGAAATATCAGGCTTCCCAGCTGCAACTCAGAGCCATCCCATTCCTTTGTTTGCTTCTTGTTGTTGTTTTTAAGCACTGTTGAGTCAGTTCTGACTCATAGCAACCCTGTATAGGAGTTCCACGGAGTGACTGGTAGGTTTGAACTACCGACCTTGTGGTTAGCAATCCAGTCCTGCAGCGCCACACCAGGACTCCTTTGTCTGTTTAGTAGAGAGTAACACTTACTATCATTGATAGATCACTTTGTGGGAAATCATCTCTGATTTTGATAGGACAACACTTAACTTTTCTTTCTGTAATTATAACGTGTGTTTTAGATGTGGTCAAAGGTGAAAAGGTCAAGCCAGTATTTGAGGAACCACCCAATCCCACAAATGTGGAAGCAAGTCTGCAGCAGATGAAAACCAATGATCCTAGCCTGCAAGAGGTCAACCTGAACAACATTAAGGTATTTTCATCACACTTATGACAGTGATCAGCCAGTTGATTCGTCTGACTTGCCTTATCAGTTCCTGTCTCTTTAGGACTTCACAGTATTTGAACTAATGCATCTGCTCTTTCCATTTCTTTTTATGAAAGTTTCTTTTCAGAAAAAAACTGGTTAATGTAGCTGTGAGTGCTTTTTTGTCCTATCTCAGCACAGATTCCTTTCTTCTTCATATTCTATCTCTAAAAACGACTTGCTCCAAAAATGTCTGCTGGGTAAACAATGATAATTATATTACCCCCTCCCCAGACACTTGCCAGTTTACATTTTTAAACTATTGAGAGTGCTGTACCAGAATAATATATTGTTATTCCAGGAATTAAGTTGTTATTTCTCAATTCTTAAATGGCAACTTGTTGATAAATAGCTGAAGTTTTAAAAAAAAATCTAGGCATTTCCAATATTTGCTAATTTTGTGGATTTGCATTGATGTTAGTCAAATTGCAAGAAACATTTTAGTTATCATAGGAAGAAAAAATCCCTACATTCCACATCTAAAAACTCATTGTTAACAAGTTTTCATAACAAGGATTGTTGTTGTTGAGTGCCATTGAGTCAGTTCCAACTTACAGCCACGCTTTCTAGAGTTTTCAGGGAGCTGCTGGTGGGTTTGAACCACTGACCTGTGGTTAGCAGTCCAGTGCTTATCCTACAGCTCTATACCAGGACCCCATAGCAAGGATGTTGTTACTGTGTAGTGCCGTCGAATTGATTCTGACTCATAGCAACCTAGTATAGGGTTTCCAAGGCTGTAAATCTATGAAGGAGCAAAAGGCTCGTCTTTCTCCCATGGAGCTGCTGGTGGACTCATCGCTGATCTTGTGGTTTGCAGTCCAGTGCTTATCTTCCAGAGCCACTGTGCTCCCATAACAAGGACTTGTTGTTAAATGCCGTCTTGTCTATTCCGACTCCTAGCGACTCTGTACAAGATTCCTGAGGAGCAGCTTGTGGGTTTTAACCGCCAACCTTGTGGTTTGCAGTCTAGTACTTATCCTACAATGCCACACCAGGGGAGTCCAAGGATGGTGGTGGTGGTGGTGATGTGCTGTGGAGTCGGTTCTGACTCATATGGCCCTATATAGGGTTTCCGAGGCTGTAAATCTTTACGGGAGCAGAAAGGCTCATCTTTCTCACACAGAATGACTGGTAGTTTTGAATTATTCTGACCTTGAGGTTAGTAGCCTGACTCGTAACCACTGTGCCAACAGAGCTCCTTTTGAAAACTAAAGTTTGTAATTTTTTTGGTTTTTAAGTTTAGTTAAATTTCTATTTCTAGACAGTTTGGTGAATAGGTTGTTTAGAGCTCTAAACACATTTTTTGCCA